AAGAGAAAGTCAGCCCCCGAGCGGGTCCAGATCCCAGAGAAAGATGGCACTGGACTCCCCCGCTGGGGTGAGCATCTGCAGAGTGGAGAGCCCTAAGGTGAGGCCAGGTCAGCCACCCGCACCCCTCACCCCTGCCCCACCCCACCCCACTCCACACAGGCCACAAGCTGCTCTCAGGCCCAGGTGCTGGGGAGCTCTCCTTCACCCCAGTAAGCCCCTGTGTTGTTTGGAACCCGGGAAAGAGCATCACCTGGAATTGGCTGTGATGACAGTTTGAAATAGTAAGATAAGAACTTAACATTTAAAACTTAAAATTCATTTCAATCCAGCAAACCTCAGGCACCTACCGTGTTGCAAACCACTTTCCTGGGTGACACAGTCCTCACTGTTAAGAGGTTTACAAGAACATGCAAGACTTACAACTCATACCCACAACTCAGGGTGACACACAGCGAATGCTCTAATGGAGAAGCAGACAATACATTCTGGAGGCAGAGAGAAAGGAAAACCACCACCAAACAGGGAATCAGGGAAGGCTGCATGGAAGAAACGGCACCTGCCCAGGGCCTTGGCTCCTAACTCCTGGCACCTGAAAGTTGTCTTCCTCAGTGTTCAATTGCATGCAGCTAGCGCTGGTTAAGTAGTTAAATAAGAAGGTGTCTTGAGAACTTGGTTACTTCCTGTTCCCTGATTGCTGAGGGAAAGGTGCAGCTTCTGCTAAGTTTTAAACATAGCAGAAACTACTTACAAATTAATGGTGGAATTAGGCTGGGGTGCAGGCTCACACCTGTTATTCCAACACTTTGGGAGGCCAAGGTGGAAGGATCACTTGAGCCTAGAAGTTGGAGGTCAGCGTGGGCAACACAGTGAGACCCTGTGTTTACAAAAGAAAAAAAAATTAGCCAGGCGTGGTGGTGGCCTGTGTCTACAGTCCCAGCTACTCAGGAGGCTGAGGCATGAGGTCCATTTGAGCCCAGGAGTTCAAGGTTACAATGATTGCACCACTGCACTCCAGCCTGGGCAGCGCAGCGAGGCCCTGTCTCTAAAAAATAACATAAAAATTAATCATTAATGGTGGAATTAAAATAGAATGTATTGGTTCTCAAAATATGGTCCCCAAACCTGCAGCATCAGTATCACCTGAGAATGCTGTAGAAATGCACATTCTTAGGCCTTACACCAGACTTACTGAATCAGAAACTCAGGGAGTGGAGCTCAGCAATCTCAGTTTTATCAAGCCCTCTGATGATTCTGATGCATGCTCAAGTTTGAACAGCTCTCGTGTAATCACTTGAAGTTAAGATGAGAAATGATTGATTTCTGTTTAAAAAAAAAAAAACTTGTAGAAACGGCCTAGCTTGACTGCCTCCCTCAAAAGAGTATTTGTTGGCCAGGCACAGTGGCTCACACCTGTAATCCCAGCACTTTGGGAGGCTGAGGTGGGTGAATTGCTTGAGCCCAGGAGTTTGAGACCAGCCTGGGCAACACGGTGAAACTTTGTCTTTGGGGAGCCATATGGAAGGTGGCTAGAGGGACTTGGAGCGCAGACACCAAGGACCCTGCAGCCTTTCGCCCTGTGCTGGTCTTCTCCCTTCCTTATGGAGACCATGGCAGTACCATGGGCTGTCGTCGGCTCACTGTGATGGAAATGTAGGAAAGCCACTGGGGCAGCATAGGCTGCAGAGTTAGCTTCTGCTTTTAAAATGGTTTTGAAATGCAAGGCAGTCCCAGCCACCTTCACTGAATGCTATCCCTGATGCAAAATCAGCACAAGGGGTAAACACTGATCCTTTTCTGTGGAGTACACACACAAAAGACAGTCTTTCTGCATTAAAGGGGTAGCAAACCTGGAAGGTGAAGCAAAAGGGACGTGCATTCCACCCTGACATGTTTTTTACAATAACAAAGGAGAGCAGGTGAGGGAGTCAGCATCTTCACCTAAACGTCTTGCCAGGCCACTGGACAACAGTAAATGGGTCTGAAAAATAACATCACACACTGTGGAGAGGGAATGTCCAGGAGTGCCTAGAGTTTGAAACGCAGGCCATCAGACGTGCGGGCACTGGAGCCTGGGTCAGAAGTGTCTGGGTCCACACAGGCTGCAGTTGGCAAAGGGGTGGCATGAAGAGGGGGAGCCTCTGTGTGGTGTTAGCTGGGAGAGTCCTGCGCCATCCTCAGAGTCACCAGGAGGCTCTGTCCCTAGGAGGCAGACACTGAAACGTCTTTCTCTTAGCGGGGTGGCAGCTGTCACACCTGCTTCTGAGAGAGCCACACTTAAAACGAGAGAAGCACTATGGACTGTGCTTCTCTTTCAGACCCATAGGTCCGGTAAAAGTTGGCAACAAAGAAGTTGGTGAGACCTGGATAGGGGGATGATGAAAACATGCTTTATGAACTGCAATGCACTATACAAATGTTAGGGTTTTTTAAAGGAAATTAGCATCAACATGAACTACAGTGTGAGCAAGCATCTGTTGTTCCCAGGCTCTTAGTAGCTAGAGCTGTTTGCCTTACTCTCGCTCTCCTCGCTGAAAATTAACTAGTTCATTTATTTCTTCCTTTACTCGGTACATTAGAGACGTACCTACTGAGCACCTACTATGTGCTAGGCACTGGGCCTACTAAAATGAAGAAACGGATGATACCCTCAAGAAATTCACAGCTTGGTAAAAATGTTCCAAAGGTACCAGTCATGCCAAATGCATGGAAAAGGGTCTGAAAGGAAACAAACCAGAAGTGGCTTTATCTGGGGAGGAGGGAAGGAGGGGGTACTATTCTTTACCAACAAAAGAGTCAACTATAGCACTCGTGTGTACCCCTGGGTTCTAATAGATGACTCCGATATGACTGGGCATTTTACATGCAACCAAATGAAAATGGCTTTGATTTTTGATTTTGGAATAAGCTGCTTTTTCGATTAGTCAGAAGGTCTATGAAATGTTCCCAGCTGGCTCGTGGGTAAATGTCCCAAACCTGCAGACTACATGAGCCCCAAACAACATTTAATTATTTCCTATTTCACACTGCCCATGCAGAGGCTGAGTTTTGCTTCACGTGCACGGAGCTACTCGGGCTCATTTTCGTGCTGTTTTCAACTTCCCATTGACCCAAATCCCTCTCTGGCCCTGGGGATTGAGACTTTGTGTTCCAGTTACATAAATTCTAGGCCTCAGAATAGCCACGCGTGCTGGCAGCTCTTTACCCTGTCGCCCGGGCCCTCACATCCTGCTGTAGTATCCTTGATGACCACAGACAACTCTCTTCCCCTCCTGGGTGGGCAGGGTCAGAAGGGCCAGGAAATAGCCCCAAATGCGAGCACCAAACCCCCTAGCCGAGCACCCTGACTCACAGTGCCCACTCCTCATTCGAGGACACAGGGGAAGAAGGCTTCTAAGTGTCCTCCAAGAAGTTTTAAACATAGCAAAAACCACTTACAAATAAATGGTGGAATTAGGCTGGGGTGCAGGCTCACACCTGTTATTCCAACACTTCGGGAGGCCAAGGTGGAAGGATCACTTGAGCCTACAAGTTTGAGGTCAGCCTGGGCAACACAGCGAGACTCTGTGTCTACAAAAAAAAAAAAAAAATTAGCCAGATGTGGTGGTGGCCTGGGTCTACAGTCCCAGCTACTCAGGAGGCCAAGGCATGAGGTCCATTTGAGCCCAGGAATTCAAGGTTACGATGACTGCACCACTGCACTCCAGCCTGGGGAACAGAGCAAGGCCCTGTCTCTAAAAAATAACATAAAAATTAACCATTAATGGTGGAATTAAAATAGAATGTATTGGCTCTCAAAATATGGTCCCCAAACCTGCAGCATCAGTATCACCTGAGAATGCTGTAGAAATGCACATTCTTAGGCCTTACACCAGACTTACTGAATCAGAAACTCGGGGAGTGGAGCTCAGCAATCTCAGTTTTATCAAGCCCTCTGGGGATTCTGATGCATGCTCAAGTTTGAACAGCTCTCGTGTAATTACTTGAAGCTAAGATGAGAAATGATTGATTTCTGTTTAAAAAAATAAAAACACAAAACTTGTAGAAACTGCCTAGCTTGACTGCCTCCCTCAAAAGAGTATTTGTTGGCTGGGCACAATGGCTCACACCTGTAATCCCAGCACTTTGGGAGGCTGAGGTGGGTGGATCGCTTGAGCCCAGGAGTTTGAGACCAGCCTGCGCAACATGGTGAAACCCTGTCTCTACAAAACATTTAAAAAATTAGCCAGGCATGGTGGCATATGCCTGTAGTCCCAGCTATTTGGGAGGCTGAGGTGGGAGGATCACTTGAGCCCAGGAGGTTGAGGCTGCAGTGAGCTGTGATTGTGCCACTGCACTCCAGCCTGAAGCGACAGAGTGAGACCCTGTCTCAAACAAAAACAAAAACAAAAACAAAAACAAAAACAAACCCACCAAAGTATTTGTAAGTGGCAATTCCTCAGACTTTCAATTCTTCAGATGAACTAAGTTTTTTGAGGATATGAGAACAAAATTTTTTTCCTTTGTTAGGGACACACACACACACACACACAAGACTGGGTGGCTTAAACAAAAATGTACTCTTCCGGAGGCCAGAAGTCCAAGATCAATTTCCTCTTCAGGGTTGGTGTCGTCTGAGGTTTCTCCTTGGCTTGCAGAGGGCGCCCTCTTGTGGCCTCTGCACGCAGTCATCCCTCTGTGCACGAGGCCCTGATAGCTCCTTGCAGGTTCAATTTCCTCTTCTTATAAGAACAGCAGGCAGATTGGAGTAGGGCTCACCCTAATGGTCTCTTTAAACTTAATCGCCTCTTTAGAAATCCAGTCTCTAAATACAGTCACATTCTGAGGTGTTACGGGTTAGGGCTCCAACATACGAGTTTTGGGGAAGCACACTGCCGCCCATACAAGAAGTCTTCTCAAAATGGACGGTGTGTTAGCAATGCACCAGTCCTGTTTGAAACCCTTTCCCTCGGTGTGTGGGACCAAGGTGAGGCACACTGGACCCTCTCTTTCCTTCCCCTCAGCTCCCTCATCGCCTCACACAGCTCTCCAAGAGGCAGCTGACCCTATGGACCCAACCGCCTCTCCGAAGAGTAGCTGCGCCCTTGGTAAAGGAGGAAATGGAAAAGGAGAAACCCAGGTGAGAGCATTGGTGAGACCAGCAGGGAGAAGGGGCAGCAGAGAGAGGGCCGCCGGCCTCTGTCTCTGCGCGCTTGGTGTCAGAGCCCCGGCACCGGGAAGTGCTCCACTGGAGGGCTGGTAAAAAGAATTTACCGACAACAGTACAGGTTTGAAAAAGGCACGTTTATTAGAAAGGAAGAACTCTGCAAAAGGGTGCAGTGGGGCACCTCAGCGAGAGGACTGAGCGCACCCTGGTGGATTTTCCTTCCCAGCATTTATGAACCTTTTAAGGTGGGAGCTTAGGGTTGTAAAATGAGTTTCAGCACGGCATTCTGGAGATGTATAGAAATTTTAGCTGCTTATAAAATTTGAAAGAGGATTGGAACCTCTAAAAGTTTAAAGATGCCAACTTTATTTTATTTTATTTTATTTTATATTTTTTGAGATGGAGTTTCACTGTGTTGCCCAGGCTGGAGTGCAGTGGCGAGTTCTCGGCTCACTGCAACCTCTGCCTCCCAGGTTCAAGCGATTCTTCTGCTGCAGCCTCCAATGTAGCTGGGACTACAGGAGCGTGCCACCACGCCCAGCTAATTTTTGTATTTTTAGCAAATATGGGGTTTCACCATGCTGGCCAGGCTGGTCTCGAACCCCTGACCTCAAGTGATCCGCCCACCTCGGCCTGCCAAAATGCTGGGATTACAGGCGTGAGCCACAGCACCCCAGCTTAAAGGTGCCAACTTTAGACACTAGAGAAGTTTGATTACTTCTAAATTCCCCAGATAAGGAGTTTTGCCTCCAGATGGCCTGTTTGGTGGTCACCGGGTGGTCTTTGCTCCTTTCTGAATTGCTCAGATAAGTTTTTATCTCCCAGGCCCGTTCAGTGGTCACCAGGTGATTTTCACTCTCCTCAGTCTCCGGAATTGAGACAGGCAGGGAACCATCTTAGGGGCCTGCCAGGCTCCCCCAACCGCTGTCCCCTGCCCAGCATGGAAAAATTTGGAGTCCTTCAAGGGGAATTCCAGGCACCCAGCTAGCCCTGTGGCCAGCAATCAGAGAACTGAATACATAACCCACGAAGTGAGAAGATCATAATAACTTTTACAATAGCCACCCAAATAAGTCAGAGTCACAAGATGTTTGTTTCCCTACAGAAACTAAAGATAACGTCTTGACATATGTCCTTGAGTTGTTTTTAAGAAACCAGGACTCCCACCTGATGGAAAATGCCAACTGTCTTCACAGTGATCTCAGACAGACTGAAGCCAAGAAATAGATTTGAAAAGTTCCAGAAATTCTCTCACTTTGGAGACGCCCACACACACACTGCACCCTGCCACCTTTAAAAACCCCTGCTTGGAAGCCATCAGGGAGTTCGGGTCTTAAGCGATAGCTGCTCATTCTCCTTGGCTCTGCTCACTGCAATAAATGTCTCACTTTCTCTCACTGCAAATCCTGGTGTCAGTATTTGGCTTTTTCTGTGCATTAGGCAAGCGGACCCAAGTTCGGTTTGGTAACAGAACCAGAGGTGAAGTAACCTCTCAACCCTACCCAATTTAAAAGGTTAAGCAGGGTGCAAGTTTGGAGCCAAACCAAGGCTAAACCACTTGGGAGCTGTGTGGTTATGGATCAGCCACTTACCTTCTTGGTGCTTCTGCTTACTCATTTGTTCTATGAAATAAGCATAGGCTTTGAGACACCGCCCTAGGTCTTAATCCCATGTTGGTAAAATGGGAATAATAAACCCAATTTTCTGAGTTGTTAGGAAAATTCGACATAAACACCTAGGATAATGTCTAACCTATCAGCGATTGGTTGAGGACTTGATCTATGTTTGTTCACTTCTGTGTCACTTCAGTACAAGGGAGAGTAACTGGGACTCAATCTGTATTTGAGAAAGGAAAGAGAAACAGACGTAAGGGGAGACTAGAGGGAGAGAAGAGAAAGAGGTGAGTGTGGGGGACTGAATGGTCGACGTCATTACTGCTACCACTTGGGATCGCCTGGACCCTGGGCAGTCTGAGAACATGGTCACTTTGGTACCAACCTTGAACCACATCACTTCCTTTCTTCCCCAGCAGGGCTTCTAGGAACAAAACACTTTGTTCTCCGAGAGATTCCAAGTTAGATTCCAGGTTTTTTTTCTTAACTTTGTGTATACACATTTAATTAGAATAGGCATAAACCAAAAAGAAGAAAAAATCAGGATAAAGTGTCACTATCGTTTTGTTTGCAAGGAGGAGTCAGGAAATGGAGCAAATTACCCGAAAAATAGTCTAAGGCCATCCTGAAGTAGCTAGGTTACATAATCTTAAGAGTCAAATGTCAAAATTAAGTATTATACTACTTAATCCAAATGAACAAAAGGGGAGCCAAAAGTTTATCCTGTTTAGGGTAATAATTTTTACATTCAATATATAGTGATTCATTTCTCACAAAGTGGTACTGGTTCATGAATCAACTGAAATATCCCTCTGACACTCTGTCACCTCCATGTCCCCCACTTTTTTCCCCTCACTTCTGACACCAGGACCTTTTTGCTACTCACAGGCTGCTTAGGGCCTCTCACCCTAAAGGAAAAACAGGAGGGAGTGAGAGGACAGAGCCCTGGACCCTCCCACATTCTCCCCCTAACCCTTTACAAGGCTGGTTCCCTTCTTGATATTCCCAGACACCAAGTCTGTGGAATTTGCTAGTGAACAAATTCTCCCTGTGGTGTGGTCATCACAGCGTAGTGTGTTACCCTTTCCAAAGGCAGCTGCCCTATCGTGGGGCTTTGAGGCGGGGGAATAGGCATTGAAGGTAACCAAGGGTTAAGGCAGAAGCAAAAGAACAACAGGTGCAGACAGTTCTAGGCAGGATTAGGTAGCATAGAGGCCACATCATGGCTCCTGTGATAACAAGACGGAAGTCTCCACTTCAGCCTCTGATTGGTCTCAGGCCAATCCTTCATAGGGAATAACCGACCGGCTGCCTCTACAGGGCACCTAGGGGTGTTACCAAATTCTTTTAGCCTAATAAAAACCCTAAATCAGGGGGGCTCTTGAGCCGCTTGCTCGAGTCTGCTCCCACTCTGTGGAAGGTACTTTCACGTCAATAAATCTGTGTTTTTGTTGCTCAGTTCTTTTGTTGCTTTGTCTTTTTCGTTTCATTCTTTTGTTGCTTTGTGTGTTGTGTTCAACACACCAAGAACCTGGACAACTCACAGTCAAGACCTTCCATCCGGTAACAGCCTGTGCTTTAAGCCAAAGACAATAACCCGGAAGGGACTTTTACAGACCAGCTGGCCTGAACCTGCACCTCCGATGGCAGATCTGTACCCCCACAAAAAATGCAAAAATGAAAACTGAGCCCCCACACAGAATATCTCCTTTTGACCCCCTGACCTCTAGTTTCCCTATAAACCAGACTGTTGATGCTGGCCTACATTTTTGGCTTGGCAGAGACAAGCAAAAAAAAAAACAAAAAAACATGTTCTATCTCATTGCCTTCTCAGTGCCCTCAAACATTGCCAGGCATGTCCTATTATTACCTCTACATCTGATAAGTAATTTCCTGACATATGGAGCTCTCCCAAGAAGCCATTCCCATGACCAGAGCCTTCAAACTGGACTGCTGTAACACTAGTCCGCACAGGACATTAGACCAGCACCCCTGCCCCCAGCTCCCCTTCTCCCGCACACACTTCCTTTGGACCATAAGAGAAACCAAGTGTGCCTTGCTTCTCCCTGGGGCAGAAACCACCAGACCGTGGAAACAGCCACTTCTGTTTTTTTTGGTTTTGTTTTTGTTTTGAGACAGAGCCTGGCTCTGTCGCCCTGGCTGGAGTGCAATAGCACGATCTCGGCTCACTGCAACCTCCGCCTCCCAGGTTCAAGTGATTCTCCTGCCTCAGCCTCCCGAGTAGCTGGAACTACAGCTAATTTTATTTTTTATTCCTTTTTTTAGTAGAGACGGGGTTTCACCATGTTGGCCAGGATGGTCTCGATCTCCTGACCTCTCGATCCCTGCACCTTGGCCTCCCAAAGTGCTGGGATTACAGGCGTAAGCCACCACACCTGAGCTGTTTTGATGCCAGAAAATCGAGGGCCTGAGTTTCCTGTATCTCAGCAAAGTTAAGTGGGGATTGAAAGGCCTTCCCCAGCCTGCTGCCCAAGCTGAGCTGAGAGTTGTCCTGGTGCTGGGGCGGGGGTAGGGGGGGCAGGGGATGGGCATGCACAGGCCTGTCCCTGCCCACATGTGTCTCCAGCACACATGCTAATCACAGAGCATGACAGGAAGACCCCACTTCACTTCCGCAGACCCAGCAGCAAGCGGAGAAGGATTAACCCTGAAGTGAATGAAGCTTTTAGTACCTCACTTCAAGGCTCTGGGAAGGTCCCCAGCAATGCGTTCCTATGCCATGTGTCTTTGTAAACTGTAGAGATTTAAGCTCTCTTAACTTCAGCCAGTGAAGACTCTTTCCCTCCTGGCGTACCTACCATCACACAGCGCCTTTTGTGGAGTGGCAGAGGATGTTCTGAGCACCCGGTTAAGGGGAATTAAATACATGGAACATTTAATTGGGGTTTCTTGGGATATTGTATATGGTCCACAGTTACTTCTATGTGTTAAGTAATTGCTAGCTGTTCTGAGGAATGGCTTTGGGAAGTCTCACCGCCCTCCTGCCCCAGACGTGCAAGGCCAGGGGCTGTGCGGCAGCGTGAGGGAGAGGAAGAATTTGGAATAATGGAGCCAGAAGCAAGTCTGCAGAAAATTCATCCAGTTCTCACAGCTCACGTGTGAAACCTGACACCAGGTTTCAAACATTTGACAACAACCTGAAAATGTACATAACACTGCCGATAAAGAGCTGGAAGAAACTTTGGTAAAATATAATAAAGAAATGTTTTCCACCGTGTTTGAGGAAAAGTGAATTATCTTTCTCTTCTCTCCGTAAAAAAAAACAAAAACAAAAACAAAAAACCATAAAGTTGTCATGTGAAGAGGCGATTGAAGAGTATGGAAGAAAAAAGAAGACGG